GGACTCTGACAGACTACAGGACTCTGACAGACTACAGGACTCTGACAGACTACAGGACTCTGACAGACTACAGGACTCTGACAGACTACAGGACTCTGGACCAGTTCCAGGTGGTTCGGTGCTGCAGGTTTCCAACATGTTTAATGGATCAGGAACAAATAAAAGCCACACAGTGATGTGAGCTGATGACCTCACTGCTGCTGCTGGTGCACGTGTTGATGAGTGCACGTGTTGATGAGTGCACGTGTAAAAACGTGCACTCATCAACACGAGCACGGCCTCGCTGTGTTCCTCATCAGCTCAGACAGCAGCTTCTGGTTGGACCGACTCAGTCCCGGTCCGGACTCTCCCCCGGCTACAGAGGGACCCTGGGGGTCCGCGATGCGGTCGGACCCACCTGTACAACCTGTGCTGCCCTTACGCACAGAGTAYCCCCGGTCACAGTGGCAGATGAAGGAGCCCTTGGTGTTCTCACAGTTCCCGCTCAGACAGATGTTGGGGTTCAGCTCACACTCGTCCACATCTGCAGAGAATGATCAGAACAGGAATATTTCTGTCACAAACAACCAGAAATTAAAGCTTTCTGAGGATTAACACAAGCTTTGTTCACGCTTCCTTCACTGAGTCACAAATACAAATATGTCCCGTTCCTCAGAGAGCCTAGAAAACAAGTTTCCTCTGAATCCATCCAGCTGGAGCACAACCCGTGTTCACATCARCGTTTTGTTTGGTCTCTTAGTGAAAGCAGACGTCTAAATGTCCCACATTCCTGCTGTTCAGCCACAATAACACAATGTTCACTGAGTGGTGCAGCAACACACCACGCCTGGTGACTCACACTCCTCACACGGCTTCACAAACCCTCTGAGAGTCCAGAGCAGACTTATAAAGTAACCAAGTACAAATACTTTGTTTCTGTACTTCAGTAGAATTTTTGGGTATCTGTACTTTACTTGAGTAATAATTTTTCAGCGTACTTTTTTCTTTTACTTATTAAATTTTACACAATTATCTGTACTTTCTACTCACTACATTTTTTAAAAAGGTAAGAAGTAGAAAGTTGTTACTCCTATTTTATTCTGAGTTATTACTTAAAAAATATTATCCTGACAAATTGTCTCCTGGATAGAGTGAATTTAATTGTGTTTGGATGAGAAGTATAAATATATACCATTCTGACACATTGTTAGCTTGTACACAACCCA